AATAAAGAGAGTTTCTATTTTTGAACACACGTGTCCTTTATTTTGTACATCAGGAATGGGGGCTAGGGGAGGGGTAAGTGAAAGGAGGTGAGAGAGGAGTGGGGTACGAGCCCCCGAGAGGACTGGGGTAACTCCTCGGGGTGGAAGCTGTCCTGCAGCCCCCCGATTGACACACCCCCCGGATGGCAGCCTGCAGCAAGTGCAGCTGGGCTGATGGCCGAGTGCTGTGATGTGCCAAGTGTGGGCATTCAGGGCACTCCAAGCCAGGACTGCTTTGCTGTCCCTCATCGAGTTAGACAAGCAAGCGGGGAACCCCTGAGAACTGTCTGTCCGGGGTGGAGGTCGGGTCCCTTTAAGCACAGCCCTCGACTAGCCTGAGACAGCAGCTCCATGCTCTAAGCCCTAATCTGACACCCTGCCGGCACTGCTTCTGGCCAGCCTTAACCTCAGTCCAGGGTTCACTCAATGTGGACATGCTAGTTTGAATTAGCAAAATGCTAATTCGAACTAGTTTTTAGGTCTAGATGCACTAGTTCGGATTAGCTTAGTTCGAATTAACTAATTCGAATTAAGTTAGTTCGAATTAGTGCTGTAGTGTAGACACACCCTTCGAGAGGAGAAAGTTGCCAGATTTTTTTTTTAACACAGGCAAAATAACTTCGAGAGGAGAAAGTTGCCAGATTTTTTTTTTTTTTAACACAGGCAAAATATTATACTTTTTCCCAGGCCTGTTCTCAGAAATGGCTGAATATTTTTGTCCAATTTTTAAAATAAAAACTCAGCCTGAAGAGGTCAGCTTAAAATAGGGTCTTATTATGGGAAGTCAATGAGAAGTCCTGTGGCACCATCAATACTAACAGATTTATTTGGGCATAAGTTTTCATAGTTAAAAACCACTTCATCTTTAAGGTGCCTCATTGTTTTTGCAGATACAGGCTAACATGGCTGCCCCACTGAGACTTGTCATAACGGGATGTGTCAGACAACCTTAAAAATAGACAGCATTATCATTCCCACATGTGATATAGCACAGTATAATATATCATTGAAAAGAAAAAGGGTAAACAATTGCCAAACTGCACACCTATTTGCTTAACTTTTAAATTGTATTTTCAGCTTTGTACAAATTCTAGCAATGCAGTATCATGTTCTCTGTAGTCTGTATGCATTTTCATTGTCGATAGAAGTCTTTTAAAGGAATACTGAATAATAAATCTTCTGTTTCTTCAAATTCAGTTTGGAAGAGACATTGAGCATAAACACGGTCATATTCTTTAAGGTCAGTTCCCACAATCCTGTTTTGCCTGCACTTTTGCCCTTGCCAACCTGTCTTTCTGATGATGCCTTTTCAGTGCATTTTTTCCTGAAAACAGAACGCACAAGTAAATTCATGGTAATTCTCGTTCTCTCACTATACCAATCAGCAGTTGTTCACTCTTAGTGCCTGCCTATATGTGGGTTTAATGGAAACTTAGCTGAAAATGTGAAACTGTCTTTACCAACAGTGAGAGGTAGGGGATATTATGTTGACTCTGAGCTATCTAGCTTCTGCCTAGGCTGTCCCAGTGTTCCAAGACTTTTTTTTTTAACCATGGCTAGTGGAGATCTTTTTGTGCTATCACTGACTAGCTCTCATCAGCATTATAGGTCTGAAAGTATGACATACCCGAAGTGTGTTCCTATCAGCCATCCAGTTTCAGCCTAATTAGCTTTTTCATGACATTCCACTAACCCCCTAAAAGGGGGTTGACATCAATCTTTTTTGTTGATACGATCTCAGACTTCAGAAGTCTTTCTCCTTTTTGTTGTGCAATATGACTCTTAAAACCACTGGCAGTTTGAGCTGTCTTCTCTCTGTGCTACTCTTTGCCCTACAGTGGGATTGGTGCCAGCATGTCATACATATTTTAGGTATTTATACTACGTCCATTACATCTTCACATCTTCTTTATCCCACTTCCTTTGGACATTTCTGTGGCACATAGTCTTGATACTTAAAGCATCATGTTGCAAAACCAGGTGCCCATTGTCATACATAGTTTCTATTGTTGCTCTTTCCATTATCTGCTTAAAAAAGAGAAAAGTTAGGCCCACTGGTCCTAAGTGCAGTAAGATGGGGCCAGACTTACAGTTTCAGGCATCCCAGGCAGTTTCTGTAAAGTAGTCTTCAAGTCCCACTGGCACATATTGTGTGTGTGTGTGCGCGCGTGTGCGCATGTGCGCACGCACACAGGTACCAACCTACTCTCACATGACGTAGATCACTCCATAGATATCTCTGCTTCTTGGGTCTCTATGGGGACGATTAGAGGTTTTCTAAACCTTGTGGATGGGTAAAGAAAATCTTAACTCTTTAGAATACTTTTCTCCCACAGCTACCCAAGTGGGAGAAATGGGAAAATTGCCTTGTTGTTGGCAGGGTTTACACTTCTCCTTATGAACCATGACCCACGTATTGTGAGCAATAGCTTGTACATATGTGTTTGTAATAGATTTTCCTCTCATAAACTATCTTGGACTGTCATTAAAAGGACAGGTTATAGCAGTACTGAAAACAGGTAGACCCCCGCTTAGTCATAGGTCTCTTCACTCTTGTGGTAACAGCAGAACCTACTGAATTAATGTCAAATGAAATAAAAAGCTGAGTGGACTTTTCAAGGGCTTTAGTTCAGTCCATATGAAATCTAGGAACCTTTTCATATCAACCCAGTATGAACGGTTTTATGAGGAGGGGCTTCTGACTTTTTGTTGGCAAAGTAACGCATTTTAAAGGGTGTTGGCTAGGTGATTTATAGATTCAAGTGGAATAACTTGGGCTGCAAATTTTATCAAGAATCATAGGGCAGCTGTCATAAATTTTGTAAAAGTCACAGGATTAGGGGCCAATGGGGTGTAAAGTCATAAGAGCACCAGTTAAAAAAATGTGTGTATTTGGCCATACGGGAGGGGAAGGATTGAGTCCTGCTCCTTGGAATAGGGAAAGTCAGGAGGGGGCTGGAGCAGTGCCCACAAAGTGCCAGTTCTTTATTTTCGTTATTGCAACCTGGCACACAGCTGGTAGCACTGTGAATTCTAGATACTCCCTTAGTGCCATCTTACTTTTGAAGAATTTGGTATAAAGTAGGCCATATCCGTTTTTTACCATCCTTTTGTATAGTACAGTGCCCTCTACTTCAATTATGTTCAGTAAGTGAATTGACCGTACCTGCTGGTCATCCATGTCAAAGATTACAGGAAGAATAAGTAGAATGAACATTTAAATGTGGCCTCTGTCCATTTCCATGAGGAGTTTATATTTTCATGTGAACAGGACTGTTACCTGTGGTATGCCCTGGCCAGAATCTGACTGCAGATTTCCCAGGATGATGGTAGATTTTGTATGTTGCTGAAATTTGGTTATTGTTTTTAAAGTGTTTTGGCTGCAATTGGGAGGCAAAAAACTTTCTGTGGCACATAGTCTTGATACTTAAAGCATCATGTTGCTTTTGGGAGACAAAAAACAGAGCAAGACTTGGAAAGGCTTTCTGGCTTTAATGGTGTGCAGTTGTGTTTCAATTTTAGGGTTTTTTAAAGAGGATTGGGCAAATTCAGGCATTTTAAAGGAGTCTGGTTGATTTCCATTTGCAGAGATCATGGTTGTTTTTACCAGCCTTCATCGATAAGGAAGGGCAAAGTCCTTAGAGGGCCAGTGTGGGGATTGAATTACATATACAGAATTCTCCAAGTAGCTACCAATTCTAGGTTTTTCATGCTAAAATTGGTTTCTACCTTATACTGTTTCCATAATGCACTGTATCTAAAAGGAGATGAGGCATTTTAGACTACATTTGAAGCACCTAATTCCAAAACTTAAAGGCCTGAGAGGGCAAAGAGGAAGATAAGGATATGTTTGAATGACAGTACTACTGAGATTTTAGGTATGTTAACTCTGGTTCTTTCTTGGAATGTAAATAAATGTCTCCTTGCCTACAGTGGTATATTGAGTCCAACTTTCTTATTCATTTAGGAATCCTAGAAAATTACATTTGTGTAATCATCATTCTCTTACTTTCATTTATCTAAGATCTCAAAGATTTAAACAGATGGATCGTCAGATTCCAGTTAAGCATTATTGCTTTCTGAGAAGGAGCAGCAATTGAGGTATTGTCTAGGGCAGTGTTTCTCAGCCTTTCTTTTTTTTTTTATAAAGTACCACTTTAAAAAAAATGTAAGTACTCCAGTACCTACAGTTTTCAGGCACAATTTTTTTTCTACTATTGCAACACATTTGTTTAAACAATTTAATCGTAGCTGGGCTGGCAAAGAAATTTTTGGGTGTAAAAAGTACAAAAATAATAAAGAGCTGTAAAACATAAAACCAAACTTCGGTTTTCTCCAAATTTCAGTTGTGTTGATGTACCCCCCAGACTTCTCTCGAGTACCCCTGAGGATACTCGTACCACCGGTTGAGAAACACTGGTATAGGAGAGATTAACACTTCCAGGTCCTAGGCTTCTGAGAATGCCTACTATGGAATGTCCACAGAAGCCAAAAATAATACCTTTTCATTGATATAAACAAACTGTCCCAAAGAATCTATTGATTATTTTATAGTTTGGGTGGATAAATCTTTGTAGAAAACCAATTTTATGAGATTCAATGGATCTGTCATAAACATTCACTCTTAGGTTCCCCATCACAAAGGCTTAATCTTAGAAATATGTTCAAAAGTGGTAGATTTAATGTATGTTGAAGGCCATGTAAGACTGCAAACAAAAACCTCAATCTCTGGAGTATGCAAAAACAGAGAAATATGTATAAAGTATCAGCTCTCAAGGCTTGCATTACCTATAAACATATGAATCTAAGCTCCAATTCTATTTGTGTGTGTGGATGTGTCTAGACTACAGGTTTTTTTTTTTAAAGTAGCCTTTTTTTGAAAAAACTTCACTTGTGTCTAGACTGCACCCGTGTTCTTTTAAAAGTAAATCGAAAGAACGCGGTAGTTTTTTTGATCACGGTAAACTTCATTTTAAGAGGAATAACACCTTTTTTCAAAAGTACTCTTTCAAAAAAAGGCGCTATTGAATGCAAACTGTGCTTTTTCCAAAGAGAGCATCTAGACTCTCTTTTGAAAAAGCAGCTCGCTTTTTCGAAAAATCTGCTTGTAGTCTAGACGCTTTTTTTTCAAAAGAGGCTTGCAGTCTAGACGTAGCCTGTATGTCTACATAATACCTTTAGTTTCCATTCAGCCCATTTTATAAAATCAATTCTGGAGGATTTATGTACCTCAACTTACCCAACCAATACTGAGATTTCCTTGGTTCCCTGTTGATTACAGAAAGATTTAACATTGGGAACATCAAGTCTTGTTTTGTTCTTGCTGGAAGTTTCTTTTGAGGGCTCAGATTTGCGTTGTGAACTGTCTCAGTCTTTAAATCAAAGGGCAAGGGTTGGTGAAAAAACAGACCCTTTTTCTGCTTTTTATACCACATTTGATAGGCATATACAAAACAAAAAAGGTATATAAAACCGTTTGAAATTCATTTTCTTAGTTAATCAATCTTCACTTGCCAGAGATCTGTGATGCCTTCTTACTTCCCTACAGTGTCTTCCAGAGAAAACAAAGCAGAGAAGACCAGAATTTCTAACTTTAAAAACTGAAGGCAAAATAATAAATATCAGGCTTCTGAGCATTTTGTGTCTGTCATGTATGTAGCACAAATCACCCTTTTCTGCCTCTTTATGTCAACTTGAGTCTGACAAATAAGGTTTCCAAAAACATGTCTAAAGACAGAAGCAGTTAGAAAATCTATAAATATTGATTCATCATGGCCAATTCTTTGCTAAATTTTTGGGAAGACCCAAGTCATCCCATCTACTATTATATTGGTCTCTACAGAAAAGAATGTTATCTTTTTAGCCATCAAGAACTTCAGAAATTGCTTGTGTAGGTTTGGGGTTTTTTTCCCCATGAAGTTCCAGAAATGGCTTTTTAAATGAGAACGGTTTTCATGTCAGCACTTTAATAGTCTTACGTTTCCAGCTTCATTGAGCCTGCCTCATGCTAACTGAAGGAAGATGCTCTTTCACACGTTGATTCACCCAGTATAAAGACTACCAGTTTTAAAGCCCTTGTGAAGTTCAGACAATGATAACAGGAACTTTCATATATTGACCAAGAACTTAAATCGGAACAGGCCCACCAACAGCAGTTCAGGGCTCCAGGGCAGAAATCAATGGGCTCCTCCCCTGCCCCCTCTCAGCAAGGGCCACAAGCATCCTCTGCTCAGAGAAGCCCTATTTGCCCCAGCAGCATCCCCCTAAGCTGGCCACCCCAACCTTCCTCAGACCCAGTGTGCTTGCTCTGGAAAAGCGGCTGCAGTGTTGCTTGATTGGAAAATTCTTTTGAGGTGCCCGGGGCCAAGTGAACCTGGAACCCAAATAAGGCATATCAAAAGTGTCTTTCAATCAAGAGACACTTGTCAGCTGAGCTACTGCTGCAGTGGCTTCGGCCCTGGTGTCCTTTTAAATTGCCGGGCACTTGGGCAATTGCCGCCTTTGCTCCCCCCCAATGGCAGGCCTGTTTGGAGTGTCTCTTGAGGTGAGAAAATGGTTCAATTTCCATGGTTTTTGTCACTTTCTTTAATAGCATTTTTAGAGGGTTTTTCTGAGGGTTCTTCTTTTTCCCCTTAGGGGAAATATCTCTCCACATCAAACTGGACTGAGGTTGTCAACTCACTGTACATAGGTTGTGTAATATCTGTCAAAAGGTTCCGACTTTTAAAGAATATACAAACCAGAGATGTTCAGTATTCCCTTAGTACAAGCCTGGGTCATCCAGACTCCAATCCATGATTTTTTAGGTATAAAAGGCATTACCTGAGGCATATTTTTGTTTTTTTTTAAAGTAACTATAGAAAATGCAATCAATTGTAAGTTTTCAAAGAAAAACCTGTATGAAAAATTGATGATATTTCATCGAAGTGTCAAACATTAGTATTTATGGTTTAGGAAAAGCTGAAGAGTGGATTACCAAGTACTTACAAGGCACTTGCACACACTCCTGAAATTACTGCAGTATGAGAGAGAGAGGAGAGGGATGCACATACAGTTCCTGTCATTGATGATGGATTATATGCAAGTGCAAAAGTAGTCCTTAAACCAGAGATAATTATTTTATTATACTTTTTTCAAGGCTCAGTGCATAAAAATAGTTCATACTTTAAATTATGTAAAAAGTTATTCCAACTTACTAATTATTTTTTCAAAGTATTTGAGCACTTTTGTGTCAAAAAATCCCAATTGCTACATTTGAGTTGATTGATTTTCTACCATGGAAAGCATACACTTCACTGAAAACTAAGAAATTCAAAAACTTAAAATACTTCAGGAAAGGGTAGAGAGAGATTGATGGACTCAGTGTCTGAGGAAAAAATACTTTAATATTATGAGATCAAAATGAAAAGGGCAAATAAAGGCTTAGGTTAGCTTTTAAAATGAAATATTCTTCAGTTAAGACCCCACTCCTTCATGCTTCGATTTAATCTGTCAGGCCAAAAGGGCAAAGGTTCACATTATTGCTGGGAAGAGTATAAAATGCATGACATGGCAATTTGCTGACTTTCTCTGGATGAATCTAGACAAAGCTTGCATCTCTTTGCTTTTAGTCTCTGACAGAAGCCTTTAACACAGTTCTTATTGTTCAGTTTTTGGGTCACTGAAAGACATTCTAAGGTATTTGTGATGTAGAAATCCCATGAAACTTGTTTCTAATTTGTCTTAATTACTTGTCTCACTCAAATGGTTAATTCACTTTTGTATGTGTTAAGCAGTTTAGAAGAAATGTATTTTGTTCAAACATGAAATCTTTCTAATTGCCAAAAATCATTTATATGTGCTTGTGGTTGAGTATGGAAACCTCCTCGGAAAACCTAAGATTTTTTCTCCTCTATTTTAATTAGTCATTGCATAAGAGTCTGTGGGATTGACTAAATGTTTGCATATCTTTTTGGTGAGAAATGTTAGGCTTCTAGAATCTTCGTTTTCCCCTGAGGGGAAATATTTTGTCTTTCCAGAATCTATTGCTGCATAATGATCTCCCTTGGTGACTAAGAGGGAAGACTAGTTGTTTCTTCCTTCTTCCTTCCTTTAAAATGCTGTAGACATCAGTCAAGTTACGAAACAATGAGAGCGTATACAAAACTATTTCTCTTTCAAGTCACTGTGTTGAATGTATGGCAAGGAGTGAAAATTCTGTCAGCATGTATGTAATTCTGAAATTCAGTTTTGTGTTTGCTTTGCCAGAACAGTTATTTTCTCAGGCTTCAAAGTTCTGACACAGACAGCCTTTTTTGTAGCCCCATGAAATATCATTACTGATAAGCATAACTGCAACAAAGAACTGAATGTTTTGGCAGCTATACCATTATGGAGATGACTAATCAAAGCCCTAATCCTGCGGCTGGATCCGGGCAGACTTCAGTGACATTCCATGTAGCTCTAAAATCTGATTCCTGCACATCTGATTGCAGGATTGGGCTGGAAATCTATACAGAGTATCTTTTAGGTTCCAAAGCTTGCCTCTCTTGTAGTTGTTTGCGGTGTTATAGCTATTCTGGTTCTAGGGTATAAGAGAGAGAAGGTAGGTGAGATCTCTTTTAGTGGACCACCTTCTTTTGGTGGTAGGGACAAGCTTTTAAGCTTCACAGAGCTTTTCTTCAGGTCTTGGGAAGGGAACCAGAGTATCTGAGCTAAATACATTTTGAGATAGCTCGTTAAGCATAAAGGGGTTCACACATGCTTTTGGAGACCACTTAAATGAACTTGGGTAATTAAGGATTAGCAGACAGTATAATGTGTTCTGAATTGTTGTCATATTAATGAACCATAAAACCAGCATCTGTTTGGTCAGTAATTTATAGGGTCTTGCAAGGCTATGAATTTAAATTCCCAGGCTCATCTTTTGAAAGTCTTTGTGCAGGTTTCCTTTGAGGAGGAGGCTTGATGGGTCAGATTTAAAGTGATCACCTTGTGAAAAACATTTGCCCTTGGGAGAGAGGATGTATCGTTTTTCTGGGTGAATTCATTCAAGAGCATAGCGAGTGTCTGGTTTCACCCACAAAGCAGTTGACGGGCATTTAATGCACTGAATGAGGTACGTCACATGTTGGGGAGGCATGTGTAGGAGTGATAGATCTTAAAAGATGGGTTGTGCAGGGTATTGATCATCACAACAGCAGAGACATATATGCAAGTTTTGCATATGGTATTCATGCAGGATCTGGTGCTGGTTTGAGTTGGTGTGTCATGGGCTGTCGGGAGATTGCTTCTCATGATGAGTTTAGTGAAGTTGAGGGATTGATGGGACCATATCCTAAAAGAAATCTTTTTCCACCCTCACTCTGACTCACAACCAGCCCTCTTCTTCCCAACTTAGCAACGGAAATAAGTCCCCAGAGACAGGACACACAAATCGCTTAGGGTGTGTCTACACAGCAACATTATTTCTGAATAATTTACATTATTGTAAATAATTTACATTATTGTAAATGTAATAATTTACATTATTCCGAAATGACATAGTGCACATCTACACTACAAGCCTTTATTTTGAAATAATGTCAAGCTGGAGGACTTCTTACTCCAACTCATGGTAACCCTCATTTTATGAGGAGTAAGGGAAGTCGAAGGAAGAACAGTGTTGCCAGTGCCAAAAGCTGAATTAAGCTAGTTCAACTTAAGCTATGCAATTGATGTAGCTGAAGTTGCGTAGCTTAATTCAACTTTAGCCCTGTTGTGTCGACGTACCCTTAGTGACCCACTTAAAATAAAATGGTCTCCTAGAGCATGTGTGAATCTCTTATCCTTAACAATCTGTCCCAACTTGTATTTAGCTCAGTAACTTTGGGTACTTTTCCAAAGTGAAGAACAGTTCTCTGAAGCTCCAAAGTTTACTTCCCCCAACAGAAGTTGGTCCAGTAAAAGATATCTCATCGACTTTGTCTATCTCTTATCATTTTAAAGAGAGAGCGAGAGAGAACATAATAGCTTTTAAAATTTATTTAAATCTTAACTTTAAATAGTCTTCCATGCTTGCCAAATTTTTGAGGCATAAATTTAGCATTAACAGAATTAATGTAAAGCTTTTACAAATCTGTTTGCTGAGCAGTAAAGGTCAATAAATCTTCAGTGACCCTGACAAATGTCTTCAATGATTTTAATTTTTTGGAAAATAAAGGATGTAGATACTACTAGCAGCTGTGAAAGCAGACGGTATAACGACTTTCCAACATGACTTACAAAGCACCTCTGCTATGACTAAAAAGACTACAGTATGAAAAAGCAATGTATTTCATCCTACATGCAGATTCAGTCTCATTGTATTGCTGAACAAAGAATAATAATGGAACTTGCTGATGAGCATAGCTAATTGGTTTATTTTTTAGTAAATTCGTAGGCTGAGGTTTTATCCACTTGATGAGAAGTCAGGTGCCATATGTGTAGAAGGAAGTGGTTAAAGCCACTGAGACGCTCCTGAGTTTTATTAGTTTTATCTGGATGCAGTACATATATGAGAGCAGTAAGAAAACCCTTCAGACTTCATTTAAAAAATATTGGCATGTTCCTTATGTAGAAAAGGTTTCATGGTCTCCAACCCTTCTAACAATCTTACAAAAATATCTCAGTTGCACTACATTGTAGGCACTGAAATGCTGATGTAAGAATGTATTATGAGTTCCATTGTGTCTTTTGAGCACAAACCTATGTTCAGGGCTGTGTGAAAACAGAGGACTAATTCAACAGGGGACAGTTCTGCGGACAAGTGACCTAACCTTGGAAATTGACATTTGTAATGGATATGTAACATACATAATTGCAGTAATTCTAGTGGCAATCTCTAAGACTTTTTATATGGGATTCACATTCCTTTGCTATTAGCATAAACAAAAACAAATGCAAGAATTTTAAAACAATTTCACTAAGATCTTTACCTTGTCAGTTGCCCAACTTTGAGTCTTTTGTCTTTATGGATGTCATTTTGGTAGTTCTCCAGATCTGAACATCTGTATTTCTAATGCTACAAAGCCAAGAAAAAACTCTTTGAACATTTATTCTGGATATCACTCTTCCTGTTATGAGAGTTATATGTTGATTTCTTTAATATCTACTCGCAGTTCAACCTCAGCCCTCTGCTATGCATATGGAAAAGAGAGTTTTGGTTCTACGAGAAAAATAAAAGCATACTATGTCACATCTTTGTGTGGATGTCCAAGAGGAGGTGGGCACATGGCACCTCTTTTCTGTCCTTTTTTTCCTACCACATAAGGCCTGGGTAAGTTCTCAGTCATGAATATCTTCTAAGTCCAAGGTTTGTCCCAAACTAGCACTGGTAGTTGCTATAAAGAGCGTGGAAGTAGGAACCCATGTCTTTCTGCTCAGAAGAGTAAAGGGATAACAGTTGTCCTCAGGTCCTTTAAGTTACTGTCCTTTTCTTTCTTCTTTAATTAATGGCAGTGCTAATAAATATTGTATTTTGCCTTCTAATATTTTTGTCATGCATCCTACAACAGATTTATCTCCCAGCTTTTAACTACATGTGTTATATGTTGTGGGTTTTTTATTAATCGTGATACATTTTCATTCTACTATGATATTCATTTAGACTAAATTAAATGTTTTTATCAGTTATAACTTTGTCCTCAGGATATTTGAAACCCTTTCAATGGCCTTCCTTAGTTAAAACCATGTGTGAGCAGTGCTTCAGACAAACTGTATCCAAACAAAATATAGACTATAATGGATTTAAACTACCGTATCGTTAATGCCGACTAAAGTGTCTGTTTCTGTTCCAAGCTGTACAAACCAATTATGGAATATTAGTAGATTACATTTCTACCAGGAGCTCCATCAAAACATCAGGTCAGATAGTATTTATGTGGTAGTGGGGAGCTTTGTGCTTTATACTCGAGTTGTATTTTGATATTATGCTAAGCACTAAGAACTATTTTGTTGCTTCAAGTGAGGCAAAATTGTTGACATTCTTCTGGTAAAATAATTGTTGCTATATTCACTCTGGATCCAGCTTTGCAAGGCATTGGGTGCTCTCAACTGACATTAATGTCAGAGGAAAGTGAGGACACTCAGCACCTTTCCAAACTGATTCCTCTGTTATTTTGCATGTCTGCTTTCATGTCTTACTCTTGAAAAGGGTTTCATTTTCAAAAATCCTTCTCCCCACTTAAAAAAAAAAAAAACCCAAAAAAACCCAAACAAAGAACAAAGCTTTTGCTTTTCTTTAGCAATTAAGCAAATATCTGTAGTGAAGCAACTGCCATCCCTGGATTAAATAACAAAGTCTGTATTTTGAATATTGTGTGTCACCTGAACGAGGGAATTTTCTAGGCCAGGGAAGTGCGTCACCAGCTCTGGACTCTGCTCCTCTGGCAGCTGAGGGGCTGCCGTTGACCAAGCAGGATAGTGGACTCTCAGGAGAAGAGACATGGTGGGTGCAGAGCCCCAGGAATGTAGATTGGAGGGAGCGCACAGAGTCCTGTAGTAGTTGGGCTGTGCTCCTGACTGCCACCGCTGGCTGGGGGCTCTGCAGCCACCCTGCCTCTTCCTCCCGAGTGTCACCTGTCCCTGCTTCTCCCCGCTCACCCCCCCTTCTTCCCTCCCTGAGCTTGCAGTGCTCTGAAGGCTCTGGCGCTGCATCTACACTGCATCATTTTTTCCGCAGAGGAAATGCAAAGGAAGCGCTCATTAGCATTTCTCGTGCTGTCATTTGCATAGTCTCTTTCGA